ATAATTTAATATCGGTTAGTAAATTGATCAATTCTCTTAATTGTATTGTCACATTCTCAAACCATTCTGTTTCTGTGCAGGACCCGGGTACGGGGAAGATGATTGGAGTGGGCCGTGAGTCACGGGGTCTGTTCTACCTTGATGTGCCGAGTCCTTCAGTTGCTTGTTCTCTCACAGAATCTCCACAGCTCATCCACAGTCGTCTCGGGCATCCTAGTCTTGCGAAACTGCAGAAGATGGTTCCTCTTTTATCCGGTCTTCAAACTTTAGATTGTCAGTCATGTCAGCAAGGAAAGCACATACGCTCCTCCTTTGCTAATCGAGTCAATAAACGAGCTGATGCTCCTTTTTCAATTATTCATTCAGATGTTTGGGGTCCTAGTCGTAGTGTGTCTATTTTAGGTTTTCGGTATTTTGTCACCTTTATTGATGATTTCTCCCGTTGTACTTGGATTTATTTAATGAAAAACCGTTCTGAGTTGTTTTCTATTTATCAAAAGTTTTCTGCTGAAATTCATACTCAATTTGGTGCTTCTATTCGTATTTTACGTAGTGATAATGCTAAGGAGTATGTTTCTGTTGACTTTTCTCACTTCTTAGCCACACAGGGTACTTTACACCAAACCACTTGTCCTCACACTCCACAACAAAATGGAGTAGCTGAACGTAAGAATAGACATCTCATTGAGATTGCCAGGACTCTTCTTATTCACATGCATGTTCCTCTTCACTTCTGGGCTGATGCAGTCCTTGCTTCTTGCTTTCTCATCAACCGCATGCCTTCATCTGTGCTTAATAATGATATTCCTCATAACTTATTGTTTCCAGATGTTCCTCTCTTTCCTCTATCCCCACATGTTTTTGGTTGTACCTGTTTTGTTCATGATCTCACTCCTGGTAAGGATAAGTTAACATCCAAAGCCTTTAAATGCATTTTTCTTGGTTATTCTCGTCTTCAAAAGGGTTATCGCTGTTACTCTCCTGACCTCAAGCGTTACTTAGTTTCCGCGGATGTCACCTTTTTTGATCAACAACCCTTTAATTCTATCCCATCTCCATTGTCACAGGTTGATCATGTTCTTCCTGTTCCTTTTCTTGACTTGTCTTTGCCAGATGCAGGTGCCTCCAGATAAGCAATCACCTATTGCTCCAGTACCTAAGGACCGTCCACTTCTCACTTATCAGCGTCGTAAGACAGTACCTCCAGTCGACTCGACCCCTGCTGACTCATTGCCCTCTGCAGTTGATTCTTCCCCTCCGGATCCTTCACCAGAGGCTCTTCCCATTGCTCAAAGAAAAGGTACACGTACTACTCGTAATCCTTATCCTCTTTATACCTTCTTGAGCTATGATCGCCTTTCTCCTCCTTATTTCACCTTTGTTTCTAGTCTTTCTTCTGTTTCTATTCCTAAGACCACAGGTGAAGCACTTTCCCATCCAGGATGGCGCCAAGCGATGCTTGATGAGATGACCGCACTTTATACCAATGGCACTTGGGACCTTGTTTCTGCTCCTCCAGAGAAGTCTATAGTTGGTTGTCGCTGGGTGTTTACTGTGAAAGTTGACCTGATGGCCATGTTGATCGTCTCAAGGCACGCCTAGTTGCCAAGGGTTTTACTCAAATCTTTGGCCTTGATTATAGCGATACATTCTCTCCAGTCGCTAAGATGGCGTCCGTCCGCCTATTTCTTGCCCTTGCTGCTGTTCGTCACTGGCCACTCCTTCAACTTGACATCAAAAATGCCTTTCTTCATGGTGATTTACAAGAAGAAGTTTACATGGAGCAACCACCTGGTTTTGTTGCTCAGGGGGAGTCTGGGAAGGTATGTCGTCTTCGAAAATCCTTATATGGTCTCAAGCAGTCTCCTCGAGCATGGTTCAGTCGCTTCAGTTCTGTTGTACAGGCGTTTGGCCTAATTCGCAGTAAAGTTGACCATTCTGTATTCTATAGGATTACATCTCCTAACAAGTGCATCTATTTGTTAGTCTATGTTGATGACATCATCCTCACCGGAAGTGATCAAGACGGAATCCATCAGTTAAAACAACATTTATTCAGTGCATTTCAAACAAAGGACCTTGGGAAGCTGCGTTACTTCTTGGGAATTGAGGTGGCGCAATCTAGACAGGGCATTTCTATCTGTCAAAGGAAGTATGCCTTGGATATCCTAGAGGAGACTGGTATGTTGGGGTGTAAACCAGTTGATACACCCATGGATCCTAATGTTAAGTTATTGCCCAGACAGGGGGAGCCGTTATCTGATCCTGGACGTTATCGAAGGCTGATTGGGAAGCTCAATTATCTTACTGTGACTAGGCCAGATATTTCTTTCGCTGTCAGTACGACCAGTTAGTTCCTTGATTCCCCTTGTGATTCACATTGGGATGCTGCTGTGAGGATCCTCCGATACATCAAAGGAGCACCAGGAAAAGGTTTGTTGTATTCGGATCAGGGAAATACAGAAATTTGTGGTTACTCAGATGCCGATTGGGCAGGATCACCCTCGGACAGACGCTCTACTTCTGGTTATTGTGTCTTCTTCGGAGGAAACTTAATCTCATGGAAAAGCAAGAAACAACCTGTTGTTTCCCGATCTAGTGCAGAAGCTGAGTATCGTGCAATGGCAAATACTACCTGTGAGTTGATCTGGTTAAAGCAGTTGATTCAGGAGCTTCATCTTTGTGAACAGAAACGACCCATGACACTCATCTGTGATAATCAAGCTGCGCTACATATATCCTCTAATCCTGTTTTTCATGAGAGGACCAAACATATAGAGATTGATTGTCACTTCATTCGGGAAAAGATTCAGTCAGGAGAAATCAAGACAGCTTTTGTCAACTCGTCTAATCAACTAGCAGATGTTTTCACTAAAGCTCTTAGAGGTCCTCGGGTTGAATACATTTGTAACAAGCTTGGTACTCATAATATATACGCACCAGCTTGAGGGGGAGTGTTAGAATATTAGATATGATATGATTAGATTTGATTAGATATGATTGGATTCTGTCTTATCCGTAAATAGTCTGACTGTATTCTGACTGTATTAGGATTAAGTTTGGATTAGGTTTGGGCCTTACACTTAAGCCCATTAGGGTCTCTATATATTGTAACTCCCTGACACAGATCAATACACAACGTATTCTTTCACATTTAACTTTAGCCTTTGAATGGTTCCCTTAGGTTGAATAATGTTGGTATTGTTACTGATAGGGTTCTTGGACAATGCAGGGTTGGTTATGGGTGTATTTGTGGGTGTAGGTAATAGTGGTGGGTAAGGGGAATGAAGTTTGGGGTAAGAGTATTTATAGGCTAATTTGGCTTCTTGTATTTTGGCTAAGGCTATGGCATTTGTAAGTGTAGTGGGTCTAAATGAATTTACTTCATGTTGAATTGTTGTCTTCAAACCAGATGTGAAACAGCTAAGTAAAAATGATTCTGATAAACCATTTACCTTATTGGACAAGGTCTCAAACTTCTCTTGATAATCGATGACTGATCCTTGTTGAGTCAACTTTGCTAACTGTCCTTGATAATCTTCCCATTCAGAAGGTCCAAACCGCACTTGTAGTGATTTGAGGAACACTGGCCATGACGTGATTGTTGTGTTTTTCTTAAGCCACTAGTACCATGATAAGGCTTTTCCTTCGAAATAAAATGGTGCAATTCGCAATCTTTGTGTATCATTCATCTCATAAAAATCAAAGAACTGTTCCACTTTGAAAATCCAATCTTGTGCATCCATGGATCCATCAAACCTGGGAACCTTGAGTCTCAAATTTCGAGTTGCTTGATGATCGTTTGCATTGATGTTCCTTTGCTGTGTTTCTGCTACTGAAGATGAAGAACTTCTTTCTTGGAAATTGTCGAAAATCACATCTAATTTGCAAGTGAGTTCTTGAAATTTCTTGTTCAACTGCTCCTTCAACGTGTCTATCTCAGACTGAGTCTGGTCCAGACGATAATCCATGGAGCGTGCTCTAGTTTCTGGAGGCATGATTCAGATGAAAGCACCAATTGATAAGGAAAGACCTTATCTATGAAGAACAATGGGGGAGGAAGAAGGAAAGAACAGAGAACAGAGGAAGAGGAGAATGAGTCGATTGTATTATTACTCCATGAATGATCCTTCCTATTACATCCAGATACCCTTTTATACTCAAGGGTCCTTACACAATTAATCAACAAGGTTTATTACATTGTCTAACCGACTAACAGTAACTGAATAACAAACTAACTACCATTAACTGAACTAACAGTAACTGACTTCCACTAACTAATGTCCTTACTAATTATAGTTCCTCACGATAACGATGTGGGGCTATCTTAGTTCTTTTTGCTCGCCTTTCTGCTATACTGGTTTCATGGACTCCTTCTTCTACTTCTCCTTGCTCTTCCCTTGTATCAGGCTGTAATGTAATCCTTTAAGTTCTTAATTATAATGGGCAATATATGGAAAGTAGAGATTAGAAAGATAATATAAGCTAGAGAAAGTCTCTAATAAAGGAACATTCCCTATCCCTGTCCAAGTGTCCACCCAGGACATGATACAAGGATAATTGCCCAACCCAAAAGGGACCTGTGGTCTACAAGGAACGTATCCCTTAGAAACAAACTTCCAGGGACTGAAATGAGTTGCATTGATTGATTGCTTTGCTGGCATCCTACCTATTTTTATTTAAACTTGCTCTAAATTACTTGGTGCAGTGACACAAAAGAAAAAGAAAAAGTAAAGAACTATAATTGTTTAGCCACCAAAGGAATGTTTTTGATACATCAAATTCCGAGCCAATGCCTCCTCATTTTTGCTTTATAGAAATGCCATAGATGTTACAATTGTCTCTTGCAATTTTTATCCCCGTGAAAAAGACAATTTTCTAGTGCACTGCTAAGATTGAGCCTTTTTCCCATGCAACATGTCATCAGTTTGGCTAACTCTTTTGTTACTTGTATTATTTAGTTTGCTATGTTGATCTTTGGTGTAATCTTAAACTTTCAGGGCTTAGCAAACGTACTACTACAGAAAGGCTCAGGGAAGAATTTGCAAAGTTTGGTGAAGTTGTTAATGGTTTATTCTCCATCTCTAAGCATATTTAACATTCAAGCTGTTCAGCTATTTACGCATTTACTCTTTGTTGTTATGTCTTGAAAATCTAGTCTGAAATGGTACTGGTTTCTTTTTTGCTGTTTTCAGCAAGGGTGGTTACTGATCGAGTCTCAGGTTACTCTAAGGGGTTTGGTTTTGTGAAATATGCTACTATAGAAGAGGCTGCAAAGGGCATTGAGGGCATGGATGGCAAGGTAAGCTGGATTAAACCCTGTCCCTTACACCTTGATGTGAGACTGAGAAATTTATTTCTTTTAGAACATTGTTGCCTCGGATTTGTCTCTACATGTGTATATTCATGCAAAATAAGATTCGAGATTTGGCACATTATAAGATGAAAATTTTATTACTTGACAGTGTCGTCAATGCATTCACCATTCTTGAGGCAAAATTTTGCTTACAGATTGCTGTGAGTTTGCTCCAAATAACACAAGTTTTTTTCAATTCTCTCCCCAACTTCATATGGAATTCAATGATTGAACTCTCCAATATTTAGAGTATCTGCTTCTTAGCCACCCTTAACCTGTAAATTGTGTGTATTGCTATGCTCATATAAATATGCATAGCTTGACCTAGCAACTGTAAATGTGAATTACTGAGTTTCATTAACAGTTGGTTGTTGATTCGATGAATTTTTTATTGCCTTGTTCATGTTAATATGTTTGGGAGACCTTTGTCTGTGTTGTTCTTCTACAAAGTTAATGCACAGGTTGCTTTTTGTTTTGACTTTCTACCAAACTTCTGTGGCTTTTCCAATACTGCTGACTGAAATTTCTTCCATGCAATACAGTTTTTGGATGGTTGGGTTATATTTGCAGAGTATGCAAGACCAAGACCGCCACCGGGACAACCTGTAAATATGACTCCTCAGTATGGCCGGCAGTGATTCCTATTATTTATCTGAAACATTATTTGAGCCTTTTTGAACTGGTTTATTGTTCACATTTCAATTGAAAATCATGAAGTTTTATTTACAAGGACATGTATGCCTGGGTGGTCTTTAAATTAATTACCTATAAAAGTTTTAGATGTTGTAATGGGATGATAACTTTATATGACTCTCTTGCAATGTTAGTTTTCTCGGCAATAGCTCTGAAAATTTTGTGGTTATGGCTACTCCGAGGAAACTGCGTGTTTGTACTATATAGTACTGGTGCTGGTGTTTGGACTGTTTGGAGTTACTTTGAAACGAGATATGATGGTTCTTGTCAATGAAGTATGAGCATGCTATAATTGTGTGGGAGTTATTTGTGTTAGAATTATGTTTATGCTTGCTGCAAAACGGTTGCATATAACCATTGGTGCATGATTGTTAAACATTGAATGTAATGGTTAAGCGATGCCTTGCACAATTGCGCGCACACAATTTGACAGCTAGTTTTTTGTTGGCCGTAGAAAACTAAAGCGCGAACACTGATGCTGAACACAACACGACACGGCGGCATATTAGAATTGAAAGGTTCACATGCTTTGAAGCATGTCTGACATGACTACAGAAACAATTTATCTAAACTGTACACGTTTCTTATTAGCATTGAGAATGGATTTAGTTTAGTTCAACCCAAAAACTAGTTTGAAGGGGGGGAACTTGTTCAAGTCATTATAAAAGAGGTGCTTTGCTAATTTATTTAGCTAATGTGGTGTTATAGCTCTTCCTTTAACTGGAATAGATTAGGTTGTGTAGCTTAGGCCCTTCCTTTTTTTCTCTTCTTCTCTATCGAAACATATTTCAAGGATAGGATTGGACAGGGATAGGTGGAAAATGAATTGCAGAGAAAATTCACCATTTTAGTCCGAAATTGTTTTATTTTTTTTTAATTATTTTCTTATATTTTTGTAAATAACTTATAACTTTCTCAATTTCAAAATAATAATAAAATTTCTTTTTGCTTTCTATGCCAACTTCTCTATCCCAAAAAAGCAATTCAAAATCTATGTATGAGCAAGATAATTATATTAAAATTTATCAATGAATAATTAAAAGTAAGTCTATTCACCACAAATTGGATAAGATTATTCATCTTAACTAATGATTTTAAGTTCAAATTTTAGGTAGGCATATTTGTTAAAAAAAAACGTAATAAGGAGAGTTTTCCCATTCTTAGGGTCATTCCCAACTGGATTAGTTGGATAATTAATAAAACAAATTATTTTAATTGACGAGTTCCAAAATAAATATAAATTTTTATATTTTTTAAGTTTTTGTTTTTATCCACTATTTTTTTTTTCTATTTAAAATTTTGAATTATTTACAGTAAGGGGATATGATTGTTTCTTGTTCTTCCATAATTTGAGAATTGAGATAGTAATCAAATTAATCTTTAAAATTAATATTATATTTTATGGACATTTAACTCTTTTGTAGTTATATCTCTATTATCCATTAATCTTTTTATAAAAAAATAATGTTTTCTTAGTTTTTTGAAATGATATAAATGAAAAATAATATTTTTCTTTAAAATTACTAATATTTAAAATAGAAGGAAGTATTTATGTATCAAAAAATAAATAAATTAGAAGAAGTACTTGCAATGATCTCCATCCAAAAATTCATGCAGTCAACTACCGTTATCATCTTTTAGAGTCTCGTTATTTTGTTCTTTATTGCTTTACTTCTGTCGACATTCCTTGAAAAACTTAGGGTCTCCTTCTGTAAGCCACACAACCCTAGATCTTCAACACCACGTGATTTCTTGTCTTTGTGTGAGATCCTTTTTTTTCTATACCTTACATGCACATATCCTTACTAGACAATGAGGAAATTCGTTTCTCAACATTATCAAAGGAAGTCATTTTTTTTCTATACCTTACATGCACATATCCTTACTAGACAATGAGGAAATTCGTTTCTCAACATTATCAAAGGAAGTCTTATTCCATAATTTTAAATTATTGCTCACCAAGTTAATAGAGTTAACCATGTTCCCATAAGAGAAAATTTTCATTATTCAACAATCAAAGTGCATTACCTATTAAAGTTAGAAAAAATTGATCTACCTAACAACTTCTTTATAATTAATGTCATACCAATCTATATATAAAGGGAAAAATATTAGAAACAACGTCTGCTAGGGTTTGCGATGAACCATGCCGCCAGTCAAACAAGTTCAACAGAAGAGATGGATAACCTTCAACGAGCACAAAAAGTACAAAGGAGGCGAAAGAGAGTTTAGCAATGATCATTCTATGACCCCGAGGGAGGAAGAATGGATGAGAGGAAATCCTTCTTGGAAGGATATTCTAATGAAGCATAACGGAGAATGGCCGTCTGATGATGATCCAGATTTTAATGAGGAAGAGGTGGAATCAGAGGAAGAGGAGGACGATGACATGCAAGTTGAGAAGTTAAGAAACTGAGATTACGATGGAAGTTCATGGATATGGCTGTATGAATTTTAAGTTATCAGATACTTTTAAAAAGAAGGCTTGGAGGAGAACCCTAATAGTGAAACTATTAGGGAAAAGGGTTTCGCTGGCTTTTATGAGACAAAGACTAGAAAATATATGGGCAAGGGATGGCAAGATCTATATAACTGATATAGAAAACGACTACATGATGGTAATATTTGAGAAGAAATAGGACATGGTGTTTGCCCTATCTGTAGGGCTATGGGTGATCTTCAATCACTATCTTGCTTTACGTTTATAGGAACCTGATTTTGATCCTAATAGATCTGCCATAGATAGGGTGACAGCTTGGGTTAGACTCCCAGGTTTCTTGATTGAATATGTGGGCACAAATTTGGTCAAATCTATTGGCAACTGGTTAGGGAAGTTTATCAAAGTCGACCAGACAACAACCAATTTAGCTAGAGGGAGATTTGCATGTGTGTGTGGAACTTGACTTGAATAAACCGCTGCAGGCAGAATATAGGATAGATGGTAGAACTAAAAAGATTGAGTATGAAGGCTTACATCTGATTTGTTATACCTATGGCCAATATGGGCACAAAACTGATATGTGCTCTAAGAATGATGTGCACGAAACAAATCAAGAAAGAATTGCTAAGGAAGGGAAGGAGGCAACAAACAAAGATGATTCCAATCAAAAGATGGATACTAATAACAGACAAATGCCTAGTCAATATGGGCCCTAAATGTTGGTCACTAAAACCAAGAAAGGAAAAAAGACTACAGATATAGAAGGGCAAGGAAATGAAGGTATAGCTACAAAGAATAATAATCCTTTATCTCGATCATCAGACATATATGAGATGCTTAAAGCAGCAACAGAAAAGGAGGAGCATCTTGTAAATGTAAAAGTGACTAATTCCAATAGTGGGAAATTGGAAGATAAAAATGCCCTTGTTCAACATGCTTCCTACGTGAAAGAAAAGAAGAAAAGGTCAATAAAGGTTATTGAGATTCCTAGTGCCTATAATGTAGTTGGGGATGTGAGTGTCAAGGGACAACTTCGAAATGGTGAAAAAGAAGTAAATAACATGACAACATCAGAAAATCAAGAGTTTACTCGAGGAAAAAAGACAAATAGGGAGATTGTTTCCAAGAGAGATCTTAAGGAATCTGACATGAATAATTTTCAGGTAGGAGTGGATCAACCTAAGCCCATGGAGGAGGATCAACATGGAATTTTTCAATCTGGGGATCAAGCACTCAATAATAGTTTGGCCTTGGCTGATTTAAGTTCCAATCCAATCCAACCCAAACCACCTGATTACAATTTTGAAGAAAACAAAGTAGTTCAGATGAAGCTCACGCATCTTCAGCAGTCTCATCTTCCAGGTAGCTTACCTGACGATACACACATCTAGGAGGTAGATCCTGCGACCAATGTGGCAAGTTTCCCATGTACATCTTAGTGTGGTATTGGTGAGGGGAGGCCAAGAGAGATTTAGACCGCACCTTAAAACTCCTTCAGGAAAAACATATAGTATAAATTTTTTTGTTGTTGGAGACAAGAACAAAGGAAGATCATTGTAGAAAATTGATGTGAAAGATCAAGTTTGATAGTTGCATTATTGAGGAAGCCAGAGGCTATATAGAGGGTATTTGGATCATTTGGTCATCACAGGTTACTAGTGTGGTTTTATGCAAAACGAATCCATAATTCTGTTATTTTCGAGTTTATTGCACTGCGGTTTATGCTAGTCCCCAAGAACTTAACAGGATGGGCCTTTGGAGAGAAATGAGGAGTTTGATTGCAAACATTAGGGATCTATGGATCATGTTAGGTGATTTTAATGAAATTGCTCATGTTACTAAGAAGAAAGAAGGTAACCCTGCAGATCCTAATAAGTGCCAAAGATTTCTAAACGTGTTGGAAGATTGTCAAGTAATGGACTTAGGCTGTTCTGGTATTTTCTTTACATAGCAGGGCCCAAAATGGCCCCATCTTGATAGGATTTACAAATGGTTGGATAGAGCTTGTGCTAATATAGCTTGGAGGTTAGCCTATGAAGATGCGAAGGTACATTCTCTCCCCAGACTAAGTTCGGATCATTGTCCTCTTTTGGTTATATTTTCCTCTGTTAACCAAAATTTTCATCTGAGGCCCTTTCGTTTCTTAGCTGGTTGGATGAATCATCATGATTTTCCCAATCTCATAAACACATCATGGAAGTCTGACATTGATATTTTTGAAATGTTAATTCAGTTCATTCCTCATTTGCGCTCATGGAATAAGCATGTATTTGGCAATATTCATCGTAATAAAGATATCCTACTAAATAAGATAGAAAAGATCCAACTTCATAGATCAATTCAAGATACGAAAAGACTGAAGGATTTAGAAGAGGATCTTCAATTCCAGTTGAGATTGATCCTATAACAAGAAGAACTGTTGTGGCATTAGAAATCACGACCTCAGTGGATAGTTGATGGAGACAGGAACACTAAATTTTATCATGCATGTACAATTACAAGAAGAAGTTTTAACAAGGTAGGACGTCTGAAAAATGCAGCAAATCAGTGGATTGAAGATCCGATTCATCTTAAAGTAATGGCTTCTGAGTTCTACAGAAACCTTTTTACTGAAGAATCTTCCCATCGTCGGTAGCTCTCATATGAGAATCTATAGGGGGATATATCAAGCACGGAGGTGGCCAACATGTGTCAAAGACCGATAATGGCAGAAGTTCGCTCCAACATGTTTGCGATAGGTGGCTTGAAAGCTCCTGCAATTGACGGGTATACTGCAGTATTTTCTCATAGAAATTGGAGAAGTCTAGAGGATCAGGTATATAAAAAAATTA